TTTGATAATAGTTTTCAAATACCCAAAGGGTGATTATGTAAAGAAGATGGAAATAGACTGTTCTCTATGGCTTTAGGAGATGGCAGTAGGAGCAATGGACTTGCTCTGCAGCAGAGGAAACTTAGGTTGGATGTTAGAAAATTAAGTTTTCACTGTGACGAAGGTTAAGCATTGGAATAGGCTCCATGCCTGCAAATGTTCAGAGATGCTTCTGCCTTGAACAGGGTGCTGGGCTAGATGACTTCATTGGTCGTGTCCAGATGAGCAGGGGTGTGTGCTTGCAACAACATGAATAATAGTGGTACAAATTTGTGCTGCTTCATGCTGCAGTGCACTCTCCTACATCTGCTCTTTGTTGTGGGACACATTGTCCTGCTGTGGGCAAGCTGCCCTTGCCCAGCTCCTCCTGGCTCCTAGTGTGCTGAAGCAGAGCAGTTGCAGCACAAATGGAGCATAGAGACACTGGCCATCAACCAGGGCATCTCACTGGAGAACCAAACCTCTGTTTTGGTTAGCATGTATTGTACCACTTTTTTCCTAGCACTTATTTTTGTTACCAGGAAATCCCAGTAGCAAATTTTGCCCCTGTACTGTAAATCTGCAGCATGGGGCATGTTTTAACATTCCATGTGTGTGGTTTGTGGCACCTCAAAGAGGTTTGTGATGCCACAATCCACATGTCCCGGCTTGTCTGGACACGGCTGTTAGGTCCCTTCTATCCCTACTTCCCTTTGATTCTATGCCTTTGCCTTGGTTACATCTTCTTCCTTGGCTTACCCTCTGTCTTTCAGATCTATAGGGGTATTGTAATACCATTACCCTAGAAGCACAGGTACCATAGTGGATGATGGTGCCAATAGCAGTACCGTTACTAACTCCTTGAAAGGTGTACGGCTCTGATGGATGCAAGTAATTGATGACTGCAGAGAGGCTTGTTCTTGGGAATCAGCAGTTCTTCTTGTTTATAGAAGTACTTCTGGAACCTGACTGCTTTAGTAGTTGAGCACCATTTTTACCCCTTAGCCCAGGGGTGGGCAAAATGCAGCCCATGGGCTGGATGTGGTCCTCCAGGCCATTTTATCTGGCCTGCGGGGCCCCTAAAAAATTTAGAAAACTAATATTTATCTGCCTCTGGCTGCCTGTCATGCAGCCCTCGATGGCTTGCCAAAACTCAGTAAGCGGCCCTCTGCCTGAAATAATTGTCTGCCCCTGCCTTAGCCCGTGTTTCCTGCCTTAGCCCGTGTTTTGACTGCATTTGGGCTAGTTATCAAAACTAGACAATTGTTTCAACGCCACTGAACCTCAAACAATGAAATTTGGTGGATAGCCCACTAGCATTTGGCCATAATTTTTTTTGGTCCATGTACCACTTTTTCCCCAGCTACTTGTTTCAGTGAGCCACAGCAAGCCAAGATCAGCTGGAGAGTGTTGATCTTCATTTTTACTGTAGTTCCCAGTCTTTGAAATCACTTTTAGTAGTAACCTACTCAAACTAGGCTGAGATTACTCATCCTATATTCAGTGTTAATGCATCTTAACCATAATTCTTTGACTTTTCTCAGAGTCCTACCATACCTCAAATCCACTAAATCCTATTCTTTCTTTAATAATATATATTCATGATTCTCCATAATGACACTGTGTTTTGGTTAAGCAAAAGACTAGCAAAATCTGGAAATATACACGTAATCCCAATGATAAGAGAATTCCACATTTCAGTTTTTCCTTGAGGAAAATGCTCCCCCATAGTTTTGGAGGCTCTACCAGGCTCTATGACCATATTCTACACAGCAGCTGGTATCTTAAACAGATCTGGGCTCCATAAGATCTCACAAGTATGATAGTATAAGTATAGTGTCTTGCTAGTTCTGCTTTTTCCTTAATCTCATATATTCATGGAATATATTTACATTGCATGGTTCCTTCTTCTCTCCTTTGCTGCCTTCAGTGCCAACCATCCTGTTTTCTTTTCAGTAGCTATTCTGAAGAAGGATGAATTGAAATGACTTGAATTTTCTTTTTTCCCATGGAAATTGTCAGGGTGACAAGGAAAAGCAGGCTGTTTCAGGTTACTGCTCTTCCTGTCCAGTTGAAAACAGGAATCACAAACCATCTTCCATTTCAACTGCAAGGCACATTTCTTTGCCTTGATCATCTTAGTAATATTAATGTACCACAACCTATATATTTATGAAAAATAAAACCAAATTAAAACGAGAACAGTCAAATCTTATCCTCCGTTCCTCTGACTACCCCTCCTCCCCCCCGAAGCTCCCTCCAAAAAACAAACAAACATACTGCTAGGAAACAAATGGACAGAAAATGCTTACCAAAATCTCTCAGAACAAAGCACTCTACTTCAGATACTTCTCTCTGTAAAGAGAAGGTGAGCAAACATGTGATACACTACTCAGGTTTCTTAATGTACTGCTGCAAGACACTAAGATGCTGTTGTGATGAGTGCTGTATAAGAATCTACATAGAATGCAATAGAGTGTTGGCAGGTACATTTCAGATAAAGTATAGATTGCTATCTAGTTGAATAATAACTTCCTTTATTCTACACTTCAGGCTCAATTCAAGATAATGCAAGATAGACACGTCTCATGCTGACAGAGTATCTTAGACATCTGACTTACTCAGTAAAAGATTTTTTTTCCCCTTGAACAAGACCCTTTCATACCTTTTATAAGATCAGTTACAATTATTTGAAAGAGAGCTGGGGGAATATGTTTAGATAATGGCCTTTCTCTTTTCTTAAAAATCTAGTAACAGCTTCACTAGTTTCTTTTTCTTTCTTCGTAATTTTTTTCTGGATCAAATTAACTTGGATCCAGAACCTATGCTTTTTTTCTGTTATGGCTGCAGATAACTGTCTTTGGTTGTCAGTAAATGTTTCTTTTGGCATATGGTTAACAAGGAGCCTACAACTGACAAATCCATCTCTGGGTAGTATAGTCATGAAATCCACCTTTTCTCAGAAAAAATGTTGATATCCTTTTACTAGATTAATCTATCATAAATCTGTACATGTCCAGTATCTTGACTGTTGGACTACAGCAAATAGATTTCATGAAGTTTAGCTTCCCCCCCCCCCCAACACACACACACAATCCAAGGCTCCTCTCTGAGAAAGCATTTGTTTTGGACTTGTATCCATGTATCTCTTAGTGACAACCTGAATACAGCATAAAATCAGTTTTGAGTGTATACTGTCCAAAGAACTAATTATTTTGCTACTAATTTTTGGTAGATTAGTTTGAGGTTCTTTGAAGATGTGATAAAACATTGAATAACACTGACAGCAGCAATTCAAAATTATACCATAGACATCAAGGGCCAGATGTAGCTCATTCTTGTAGGCTCCTAAACAGGACTTGGGCAGAATTTAGGGGACTCAAAACATCTTTCAGGAGAGTGTCTTAACATGAGGCGTGAGAATAGGCAGGATTTTCCACCCAGCCTTTTAAAGGTAGTCCACTGTGCAGACAGGAAGGCAAGATTCATGGGGCCAGAAGGAAAGCAAGCAAAAAGGAGCATGACTATGCTCTGTGAGGAAGGTAGTCCTCTATGAATCCTGGAAAAAAAAATTGCCAGTAATTGGCTAATGTAAAATGCAGAAACAGTCCTCCCCCCCCCGCCATATTAATTTCGTGTACATCTGGATACCCTAGTTTGCTATCACTATAACTACTATTAAATTGTTGTAATGCCTCTTTAAATAAGAGCTAGTTTAGAATGCATTGGATAAGTATAGAAAACCACTTGTTCAATTGGTTTTAAAACTATCTGTTTTGAAATTTAACACCATAAGGAAGAAGCATCTAAATTGACATAGTATAATTTTGTTTTAACAATATTTTTAGAGGTGCACCGATACATCGGTCCCATATCATGTTGGCACCGATAAAAGCAAAATTGACATTATCAGCAATCGGCTTTTTTTGGCTCATGTGGTTAATTTAATATGGTTGATTTAAATGTCACGTGCATGCGCAGCCGCAGCACAGTCTGGCAACATGGAAAGCAATGTCCGGCTGGTAAGTCCTGTTGTGGGGGAAGGAAGGGGCATGGGTGAGTAAGACCAAGGCCCCCACAGTGAGGGAGGGAGTGGGGCTAGGGCTGAGGCAGGCTCTGCACAGCCAGAGTGGGGCATGGGACAGAGGGTGGTGCTGCCCTCTTCCTGGCGGGTGGGGGGAAGCGGTTGGATCAGGCTGTGCTTGGGGTGGGCGGTGGTGGTGCTGGGAAGGGGAGCTACAGGGTGGGCTGCAACCACTCCAAAATTTGCCACCATTGCAGTGCTACTGTCGCCTGCCCCAAGTGCAGCCTTGGCCCAGCCCCCTGCTGGGAAGACCCTGGCGCCATCCCCAGCCTACAACAGCAATCCACCCTCATGCTGCATGCAAATCCAGGGGGCACACACCCCTCATATCCTCCCAGGGTGTATCCAGTAGCCAGAGGGCCCCCCCCCATCCTCCAGATGAGCTGCTTGCGGCTCCGTCTTGTGCCTCAACCCATCTCGGCTGTGTAGCTCCTGCCCCAGCCCCAGTGCCAGCGCTACTCCCTCCCTCACTGCAGGAGCCTTGGTCTGCCCTCCTCCACCCATGCCCTTTCCTTTCCCAACGGCCCTTCCCCGACAACAGACTTACCAACTGGACACCACACTCCATGCGGCTGGGCCATGGCAGTCGTATTGATATCAGCCAATATGGCTTGTTAAAAATTGGCCGTTGGTACTGGCCCAAAAAATCTCTATCTGTGCACCCCTAAATATTTTATATATGTGTTTGAAACTCTGTTACTTTTTGTTGTTGGAAAATTGAAATATTATTAAGCATTTTATTGTTGACACATTATATTTTGAAATTTATAGTAGGTTTTTTGCAGTTTTTTTCCTTCTCTTTCCATTTCTTTCAGTCTCTCCTGAGGCAGTGGGATTCCTTTCAGCTGTTGGAGTGTTTATTATCTTGATGTTACTCCTTTTCCTATATATTAATAAAAAAATGTGTTTTGAAACTGTTGCTGGCTTCCCAGACCTTGATTCAGGATACAGCGCAAGAAAGAATTCACAAGACAAACTTTGTAAGTATATGAACTTTATTCTACTTGATTTTGATGTATGGAAAGATAATACACATTTTTTTTGTGTAAATAAAGTGGTCCACATGAGGAAAATGCATGTTGTTGTATGTAGATGAGTTTGAGGATTGTATACCATCTGGAAGAAAGACGGCCTCTTTGATTACTGACCCACAGAAACTTTACACATCTCCATGGCTTTTGCATGTGAGAAGATGCTTCTTTTTCCTTATGTCCCCTGAAACATTGAAATACTGCATGGTTGTCTGTAATGAAAATAGATTTAGGTAACAGGATTATTGAGGGGGATGCATACAACAAACCAAGTTAATTTTCCAATGTTTTTGCAGACAAGGAAGGCTGTATGGGTAGAGAAGGATTTTAAAGGAAATCAAACACCAGAAATTGAAATATGTCTCTTTACTGACTAATAAATTATTTCTAGGCTTAGCTACTTGGAAGAAAGCGCCTATTTAGCTAAGATAGCATCCAAACTAGTACAAAACCAGCCAACCAACCAACTCCTGCCCCTCCCCTCTCCTTCTGCCAAACAATCCAATAACATTACACAAAATAAATAAAACCCTTGGAAATGTCACATATCAAACTCTTCTCAGGGGGTTGGGAATATGTGTTTTGTACATACCTAAGTTTGGGGGTCAGTGAACTGGATACCTTTCTCCTTTGAGGCTATGATTATTCTAGTGATAGCTGAGATTAGCTCACTTCTGAAGAAGAGACCAGCATAAAATAAGGGACTATGGAATATTAAGTGATTGATTTGCTTACTTGGACTCTTCTTTACTACCTCCTTCACAGCTGCTTCTCAGAAGGCAGGGCTAATTTTGGTTTCTGAGCTCGTGATTGAAATTTCTTGTAGCGGTCAAACCTTTTAACATAAGAACACAGAATGAGAAGGAGTTTCTGGGTCACTGATTCCAGTCTCCTGTGATCACAGACAACCAAGTGTAGTCAACATTTGTCCCAAAGGTTCTATGAAAAAATCTATTCTGGCCCCTTTTGTAGGTCACAGCCAGAAAACAACTGATATAAAAAAGGCCAGCAACCCTAAGGTATGCGACAGAGTGCAGGAGAAACAAGGATGCTACCAATACATTTCTTTTTAACAAGTTGGCGTGCTGTGGACCAAGTATTCATAGCCAAATTCATCCTCCTCTTTTGAAAATCAACAAATATTTTAAGTTAAAAAAATAATTATTTTGGGCATGTGCTGTGCTATTATATTAATCTAAAGTAATTCATGGTTGTTTTAATTAATTTAATACATATCATTTACGTTTATTTAAAACTTCTTCTTTGCAGGTATAGAATAAAAGTACATATTTCTTCTTTCCCACACGTTTTTGTTTTGTTTTTTTCTTTTTTTCTAGTAATCCATTGTATTATTGCTAGTTGTTCCTGAATTATGGCAAAAGACTTGACATTTTTACAGTGGAAAAATATTGTATGACACTAGTTGATTTTTCACTTCATTTTGAGGATTTTTCTGCCTTGATTTATTAATTCTTTCACTGCTTACAAAATCTGGGGAAAGAGCAAAGCTGTTGTGGCCCCAGGTTATATAACTGAGATAACAAAGCTAACTCAACATAATACTGAATTTGGCTGTGCTTGAAGAAATCACAGAACAAAAGATTTTTCTACGAAGTGCTTTGGTGAATAAAGAAATTAGACAAATGGCATTTTTTAAAAACTTTCAACAAAATCTGAACCTTCCTTCTGTGTCTTCTCTGGTTGACACGCTTAGCAGTGCTGTAGATGATCTGACCAGTGTCGTTGGAGAAGTCGGTTACTGTGTAGCTGATTCAGTCACAGAGCAGGTAACGAGTATGATAAATGGTTTTCGCACAGAAGATGAAAATTTTAAAACACAGGAAGATAAAGCAGTGCCAGTTAAAGATGAAGCTATAATGTCATTACCAGATTCTAAGGAGACAAATATGAAAGAAAACTCGTGCGCTACAAAAGATAAAAATAAACAAACTAATTATACTTCATTAGATGTTGCAAAACAAGATACAGCTCAAGACAGATCATCCCATTATGTCAAGGACAAACACCAATATCAGTTAAAGCAGGGTGATGCTAATAAACATTTTAGTGATAAGGAAGACTTGGAAAAAGTAGGAAGACATGTTCAAAGCAAAGGAGAGAAAGGAAAGGAGTACTTGGTAAATGAAAAGTTCTCAAAGGATAATAGTCTGAAGAGTAATAAACTTGCAGCAGAAGAATCTGTCATTAAGAAACCCAGTAATGGATTGCAAGTCATATCGGAGACTGCAAAGAGACACTTGCCTAAAAAAGGTAAACCAAGATCATCAGCAGTTGATTTTAAAGACCACAGAGAAGTTCATGGTACAAATGTGTCCAAGAATTCGGAAACAAAAGTAAACGAAGCACAAAAGCAGAGATTTTCAGAGTCTAATTTGAAAAAGGCACAAAAAGATCGTGTTAAAGAAGTGAAAGAAAAGAAATGTAAAGCTTTTTCTGATGGCAAAGGACAACCTTTAATGAAGCATGAAGAAAACGCCTCAACTACCCTATCAAAAGAAGGTAAAAAAAGAAACTATAAAGAATCAGAAAAAAATGCAAGAGAAGTAAGTAGTATGAAGACAACAGAAAAAGGTGAGGAGTCTTTCAGCAAATTGTCTTCCTGGCCTTTTCTCCACCTTTTACTGCTTACTACTATTACTTCCCAATTTACAGATTTCACGATAACACCTCTTTCTTGTCGGTGGAATCTTTTGTAATATGTTTTATTTGCTGCCTAATTGCAATGGTGTTTCTTAAAACCCTAACTAGTTTTGTTTGTTTTTGGTCTATAGAGCTCATGGTTAAATATTTTTCCTCATTCGTAAATCTTCGTTGTTCCTAAATAAAAACTTCCATCTTTTTCCCAAGTGCTTTGTGTGCTTTCTCTTGGATACTGGAATTTTTAACGAAAGTCTTTGCTTTGTTATAGAACACTCCTAAAATTCTTTTTACCATGTCAGTTTCCTGGATTAAAAGTTATGTAACATTTGATATAGTCAGCTGAACTCTCTTAAGGGATGTATTCAAAGTATCTTTGTTCTTACTGCATATGGATCATCCATATGCATATGTTTTTAAGATCTAAGATTATCTTAATGATAGTATTTTTTTCAAAACAAAAAATTCTAGACTGAATGTATTTTATTTATTCTTTGTAAGCAATTGCATGCATGCCTTTAAAACGGCTATCTAGAAAATGGTATGTGAGAACTTAAAAAAAAAAAAAAAAAAAAAAAAAAAAAAAAAGGGGATTTT